GGCGAGATTGCATCTCCCCCCGGGCTTGCGGCGAGGGAGAAGGGGGCGGCGGCGGAGGCTGAGGCGGAGGCGGAGGCGGAGGCGGAGGCGGAGGCGGAGGCGGAGGCGGAGGCGGCGGAGGAGGAGGAGGCGGAGCAGGAGGAGGAGCAGGAAGGGGCGATGGAAGAGGCAGAGGAGGAGGAGGGGGGGGCGGCTGAGGAGCCGGAGGGGGGCGAGGAGGCGGAGGAGGAGGAGGCGGCGGAGGTGGTCGTGTCGCTCTCCGAGTTCAGCGGCTACTTGACGCGTGGCGGTGGCAGACGAGACGACGGAGCGAGCGAGCCCGAGACTGTTCACAGCTGGAGGTGTGAAGAGACGCTGTTCACACCGACCGGACGGAGCGAGCCCGAGACTGTCCTCTCTGTCCGGTCGGGCGACCTCGCGCGGGGAGATTGCAATCTCAGGGCCCTCGGAGCCTCCGTTCCGTTCAAGCCGCCGCTGCCACCTCCGTCGTCGCCACCGCCGCCAACGCCCTCTCTTGCCCCGCCGCCGCCACCGCCGCTGCCGTTTCAGCAGCAGCCGCAGCAGCGGTGGCGGCAGCAGCAGCAGCAGCAGCAGCAGATGGCGCGCCAGCTGGCGCAGCAGCCGCCGCAGCAGCAGCAACCGCAGCCGCAGCAGCCGCCGCAGCAGCAGCAGCAGCCGCACTGGCATTGGGTGTCCTACACCGAGACGGCGGCGGCGGAGGAGCGGCGGCAGGCGCATGACGGAGAGTGGTACAGCAGGCTCGAGATTAGCCGAGATTCGCCGAGATTCGCCGAGATTCGCCGAGATTCGCCGAGATTCGCCGAGATTCGCCGAGATTCGCCGAGATTCGCCGACGCGAGCGGTACAGTAGGCCTGACTTCCGTCGAGTATTACGGCTTCCTAGACACTTCCCTGTGGACTATTCCTAGACAGTTCCCAGACTGAGAGATTGGTGCAGCAGCTCCAACTTGGCGCTACGGCTTTCTTTCAGCGCGTTCAATGTCTCGTGAGCTGCTTCCGCAGGTCGGAGTTCGTCGAGTACTACGGCGGAACCGCCGAGTGGGACCGAGCGGGAGATCGCAATCTCCTGGCGGGAGGTTCCAATTTCTTGGCGGGAGATCCCAACCTCCTGGCGGGAGATTCCAACGGCCATTTTGGCTCACGGCTCAAGGACTCTCTCCCTCGGAGGAAGCATCGGCATTAATTAACAGTTAATCAACAGGTAATTAATCATTAATTAGGACTATCTCCCTCGGAGGAAGCATCGGAACCAGCCAAAGCCGTGCTACGAGTGGCGCGACAGCGGGCAGTGCAGCAAGGGCGCCGCTTGCAGGCGCGCGGAAGACCTCCCCCTCTCTCCCCATCTCTCCCCATCTCTCCCCGCTTGCGGTCGAGCCAGAGAGGAATCAAGGAGTTAATTGACTAATTAGCCGCCTGCAGGCAATCGCATTCGGTAGAGAGCTTAAGTAATTAATTGACTAATTGAGTAATGAACTAACAAGTTGATTGCAGGTACTCCCATGCGGTCGAGCCTCCGCACACGCGTTTCGCGCGGCCGGCGGCGGAGGCCGGGGTAGGAACGGCGGCGGCGGCGGGGGCGGCGGCGGCGGCAGGAACGGCGGGGGCGGCAGGAACGGCGGCGGGGGCGGCGGCGGCGGCGGCGGGGACGGCGGCGGCGGCGGAGGCGGGGACAGCAGGAACGGCAGGAACGGCGGCAGCGGTGCACGCGGCGGTTGCTGCGTCGGCCGGGGCTGCAAGCCGAGAAGGCAACGGTGGTGCGGAGGGGGGCAGCGTCGTGTCCGTCGCGAACTTGCCGTGGTCTGCGACGGACGAGCAGGTGCGGGCAAGTAATGAAGTAGTTAGTTAGCTTAGTTGATGAGATTAAACACCTACCGAGCAGGCCCGGGCGGCCTTGATTACTCAACGAGTCCTCTCATAACGGCCTTCATTGATTCACGAGTTCATTCATCACCTAATGAATCAAGCGACGGGCAGGTCCGGGCGGCTTTCGCCGGCTGCGGCGAGATCACGGAAGTCGAGTGCAGGACAGAGCACCTGCGGGGGGCGAGACGCCCTAGAAGCGGAATCTCCCCCCCTATCTCCCCGTATCTCCCCGTATCTCCCCGTATCTCCCCGTGTCTCCCCGTATCTCCCCGTGTCTCCCCGTATCTCCCCGTATCTCCCCGTATCTCTCTCCGCATACGCACAAGCACAGACCGTCGAGAGAGGGAGAGTCACAGCAACGACAGCCAGAAGGCAGCACCGCGCCCCACCAAGGGAGGCGAATCCGAGGACGGCCCCTAGTAGGGGCACCTAGTCAGCTCATACGTACCTTAAGGTACGCAGGCAGATGTCGGTGTCTTCACGTAAACGCACAACCCCGGTGTCTTCACACCACAACGTAGGGGAAACGCCGCTACGTCGGCTACGTCCAGTTTGGCTCCTCCGCCGCCGCGGCCGCAGCCACGGCGCTGAACGGCACCGAGTTTGGCGGCCGGCGGATTAATTAACGAGACGTTCGTTAATTAACGAGAGACTGATTCATGAACCAGGCACCGACTTTGGCGGCCGGCTGATCAAGGCGCGGCGGGGGAGGGGGGGGGGGGGGGACTTTGGGGTAGCTTCGGGGGGCAATCTCGCGCAATCTCGGACGAAGCTCGGCGGGGCGTTCGGTGCGGGTGGAGGGTGGCTAATCGACTGGTGCACTGCATTACTCAGACTAGTTGGCGGTCCGCGCCAGGTGGAGGCTAACTAGTTAACGGGTGCACAAGTTAACTTAATTAATTAGCGCTCGCAGGTGGAGGCTAGCTAATTACCTGGTGCATTAATTAACTTTATAATTAGCGGCCTCGCAGGTGGAGGCTGCGAGTGGGTCGGCGAGGCGAAAGGGCAAGGGCGGGCAGCGGCGGGGCGCGGCGGGCGCGGCGGCGGAGGGGGCGGAGGCGGCGGCGGCGGCGGAGGCGGCGGCGGCGGCGCGGGAGATTGCAACCTCGCCGGCGGCGGCGGCGGAGCCGGAGGTGACGGAGGAGGAGGAGGAGGCGTTCTGGGAGGCAGCGAGGCGGGGCGAGGCGGAGGATGCAGAGGCGGGCGGCGCGGGGGGGATCTCTCTCTCTCTCTCTCTCTCTCTCTCTCTCTCTCTCTCTCTCTCTCTCGCTCGCTCGCTCGCTCTCTCTCTCTCTCTCTCTCTCTCTCTCTCTCTCTCTCTCTCTCTCTCT